AAAAACGTTTCTTTTTCAGACTAATTTTTTTATTTTGGTTCTATATAGTATTTTTGATGCTGGTTATGAAAACAGTTTGTAACTCGTCTTCCTATAAACCATATTTTTTTTACCATATTTTCTTAGTATACTCGTCGACGACTGAAAAAGAACATTTTGTGAAAACGAGTATACACGTTTCTGCCGGGGAGGGGTTAAGAAAAGAGAGGGCAGGTCCCATGAGCCTAGAGGTCAGCCTGTAACACAGATGATGAAATGCAGGCCATAAAACGTGGTCACATTTGTCTCCCACATCCACACTAATAAAAGGGAAAGATGCAAATTGACCGTACCTTCATGCCCACCAGCCAATCAGGAGTGGCTATGCAAATTAATCCAACAAAGATGGCAGGTTAATTTGGGTTCCTCACCGCCCCAGCCTCTGGGCCTCTGGGCAGTGTGGGAAGGCGGAAAGTCACCTCCAACCGGAGCGAAGGCGATGCCGGCAGTCAGGGGAAGGAAGTCCCATTCTTGCATGAATCTCAGTGCATCAGGCCTCTAGTGTTATTATAAAAGTGTTTGAGCATGCAGAAAGTCGAGAGAACTGTATTCGAATGCCCTAGATTATGCTGCAATTGGGAACCTTTTGTTGTATTTGCTCTCTCACATATTTATCCTTCTATTCATCCATCCATCCAGCAATCCACATAACATTTATGTTAAAAACAAAACAGACCCCAGCTTGTTTGGCTCAGTGGATAGAGTGTCAGCCTGCGACTGAAGGGTCCTGGTCAGGGGCACATGCCTGGGTTTCCGGCTTGATCCCTAGCAGGGGGCGTGCAGGAGGCAGGCAATCAATGATTTTCTCTCATCATTGAGCTCTTTCATTTTATGTTTCTATCTCTCTTGCCCTCTCCCTTCCTCTCTGAAATCAATAAAAAAATATATATATATTTTAAAATGCAAACCTTTAAAATATATTTAAATTTTAAAAACATAATTTTTAACTTTCTTCTTTATGCTCTTTTGCATTTATACTAATTTTCTTAATTACCAGCAGTTTTCTTCTTCTTTTTTTAATTGCTGTTTTGGAACAAGATACTTATTAAAGGAGAAAATAATCTACCCAAAGCATCTGGTACTAGAAAACCCTTCACAAATGCTAGTTCGGAATTTAAGCTCCTCTGCAGACACCATCCTTTTCTTTTTCATTCATCACTGTCTGCTCAGGAGCTGGAACAGTGCCTGGCACAGAGTAGATGCTTGGTAACTATTAATAGAGTTAATGAATTATTTTAATTATGGGTGTTTTTCGAGGTTAAAAAAAGAGAGTATGTTCTGATGGAGAGCCCTGGGCTTGCACCCAGGGGGGAATGTGGGTTGTCTTTTGTAAACTGTGTAGAGACCCCCTCCCACCAGGAGGTGTCCCCTGGGAACGAGGGGCAGGCTCCCCTGCATGTGGGCAGGCCAGGCCCACACATCTCTCTCCTAGGCCGAGGGCAGCACTCATTTGGAACTTAGGAATGTCTCTCCACATTCCTCCTCACTGTTTTGCATGCTGATGGCATTTGTTTTTGATATGACTAAATGGCAAGTCTGCAGCCTTCAGGAAACCAGGGTAAACATTATTTATATCATTTATAATTGGCAATTAAGTTTGATTTCAGGCACCAGAATGGAATTTAAAACACTCAGTTTAAAATAAGCCAAATGTAATCAGAGGCAGCCTGCTTTCCTCTTCAAAACGCTAAAAAAGAAAACAAAACACACTGTACAACAAACAGAGAAAGGTCTGGAACATTCCCCCTCCTCTTATTCCCACCTCACACTCACAAAATGACTTGTTTTGTGTGTGTGTGTGTGTGTGTGTGTGTGTGCGCGCGCGCGCTGTGGGTGGAGGGGTGCGGGGGGGAGGGTAGACTTGAAGCCTAGAGACCCGGTTTCTGTCTCTAGTCTAAATTTCTGCATAACTTGGGCAGGTTACTTGACCTCTCTGGGCTGCAGGTCTTCGTCTATTTTATTTTTTTTTATGTATATATTGATTTTTTACAGAGAGGAAGGGTGAGGGATAGAGAGTTAGAAACATCGATGAGAGAGAAACATCGACCAGCTGCCTCCTGCACACCCCCTACTGGGGATGTGCCCGCAACCATGGTACATGCCCTTGACCGGAATCGAACCTGGGACCTTTCAGTCCGCAGGCCGACGCTCTATCCACTGAGCCAAACCAGTTAGGGCCTTCGTCTATTTTAAAGAGGAAGGGGGCGGCTCAGATAGCTTTATCTGCCTGCCATGGCTATGATTCCACTTCTAGAGCCAGGCAAACGGACCAGCTCTCCTGTGGCAACAAAGGAGAGGGAGCTGGAGAAAGGGAAGGAATGAGAGAAGATGACAAATGGGTTGCTTGGAAACATGATGGTTCTGGACACTTCTGACTCACTGCACACCCTCGGGCAAACCCCCTTTCCTTCTTATTTTTAAACCCCAGTCTCCATCTTAAAGGGGTTCGAGCTAGAATCTAGATTCAGGATGGCAAATAGAATCTGTCAGGCTGGGTTCGTGATTTTTAGCTTGGAATGTGAACATCTTCAAGCGGAACACCTACTCTGGAGTTCTCCACCAGCCTCACTGACCCCCGTTACCTCCCATTACCTCCCTGACCTTTGAAGGTCATGAAGTTTCTGCTAAGACACCGTCCCCCTCCCCAGTTCTGAAACCCCTGATCCATCAGCTGGATGAGGACAGGGAAGATCGCCTAATCTTACTCACTGCCCATCTTCCTCTTCTCTTTGGGCGGTATGTGTCTGAGGGCCTGGAAAGGCTCAGGAAGTAACCCAGAAGGAGCCCGGGGATCACCCCAAGGTAACCTCAGACTTGATCGATCCTAGCTGGAGTTAGCACAGGAATTGCATCAGGCCTAATGGGGAGCATCTCAGCCTCCTCAGATGAAGCTTCATTTTATCATTATTTTTTTAATCCTCACCCCAGGATATTTTTCCACTGATTTTTAGGGAGACTGGAAGAGATAGGGAGAGACAGAGAGAAACATGTCCATTCATTGCCTCCTGTGCGAGCCCCGACCAGGGCCCAGGCCAGGGAGGAGCCTGCAACCAAAGTACGTGCCCTTGACTAGAATCAAACCGGGGACCCTCCGGTCCACAGGCTGATGCTCCATCTACTGAACCAAACCAGGTAGGGATGAGGATTCATTTTCAGGAAACATCCAGTGACTCTGACTGGAATCCCACTCAAACGAGGAAACCTGAAGCACCTGTGACAGGCCTGGCCCCGGAGGATGCTGCCAGGACGGAAATAGTCCTATCCTAGAGGCTCCCCCAGGTTGAGGAGGAAGCTGACAAGGACACCATGAACTCTGGCTGTGAAAAAGCCCACAGACCACGTGCTGCGGGGGTTTTCAACGTGCTGTGGGGGCCGGCGGAAAGTGACTCATCTTGGCTGGAGGGTGTAGCGAAGCCTCCTGAACAAGGGGCCTTGGATATGAGCCTTGTAGGCAAAGGACGAAAAAGAGGACAGAAAGACAGCCCGCATGTTGTGTGAACCCGGCTGCAGCTTGTTTTCTCACCTTTGAGCTGGGAAGGGTGGTAAAGATGTCCACTTCCTTTGTGGTTATAAAGATTAAATCAGCTGTGTGTGAAAGGATCTGGCTTGCAAAAGTGCGTTTACAGTTGTGAGTACACAAAACAGTTTATTCCTGTATTATTAAAACTGTAAACCTACTTTTGCCCCATCCTGTATGTAACCGAATTGCAGGTAGAGCAAAAGCGTGTGTGCGGGCCAAGTTGTGAGAGGCAACCTTGGGAAAGACAGCCGCCTATGTTGACGGTGATTATCTCTGGGTGCGAGAGTTTCTGGGTAATGTTTATTTTCCCCTGTATCCTGTTTTATATTGGTTGAAGTGATTATGATGAACATGTGTTATTTATATAATGGTTAAAACAGTTTCTATGAAAAGAAAAAAGGAAAAGCTACTTGTGTATTGATACTTTAGAAAAGTCACACCTACAGAAAAGCCAAAATATTCAAAAATTCTCATATTCGTTTACTGTTAACATTTTGCCACATTTGTGCGCTCTCTCTCTCTCTCTCTCTCTCTCTATATATATATATATATATACATATCTATATATCTCCCTGTTTTTGAAAGTTTGCTATGCCACTCTTTTTTATGAAAGACATACACTGTAGTGTCAGCCCACTGTCCCTGCGGGTTCTGCATCCTCAGGTTCAATCAACAGGGCTGGAAATATTTTGGGGGGAAAAGTTATGCTGCTGTACCGTGTAGTTAGGCCTTACAGTGGTTACATCTGAACCAAACAGGTAGACTTTCTTTCCTGTCATTGTTCCCTAAACAATATAGTACAGCAACTGTTTACACAGCATTTACATTGGGTTAGGTATTACAAGTAATCTAGAGATGGTTAAAGTATACAGGATGATGTGCTTAGGTTATATGCAAATACTACACTATTTTATATAAGGCACTTGAGCATCTGCAGATTTTGGCACTCTGGTGGGGTCCTGGAACCCAACCACCATGGATATTGAGGGATGACTACCTCTTTTTCATAACTGAAAGAAATCAGAAAGATTTCAGAAAATGGACGAAAAACTAAAAATAGCATTAGTGTTTGTGGTGAGCTACGTTTGGGTTTTGCAGTGAGCTGCTATACACGCAGTGTGCTGTAGAAAGTGAAACTGCACTGTACATACTTTATTTCTACATTATATAGGCCGTGTATCACATCATTCTTGCTTTTACTCTATGCTTGTGTTAGCTTAGATTTTATGTGTTATTTGATATGATTGGGTAGGTTATGTTTTGAGTCTGGGAACCCTTAACATTTTTCCCATTTAAATTAATGGTAATTGCTTCTTTGCTTTACATCATGAAGGCTTACAGAAATGCTTGAATCATTTGAGAGTAAGCTGCAGACCTCATGTTCCTAATAATTTCAGCATGTATTTTTCCAAGATCAAGGGCAGTCTCTTACATAACCCAGTACAGTAATAAAAATCAATAAATTTAATGTTGATACAATACTGTTATCTTTCAGTCCCGTGGTGCAACATGCCCAGAGCGCTGCCGCCGGTCCCCTCTTCGCCCTCCCTTTTCAACTCCTGCTAATTGTCTCAATATTACCTTTTTTTTAAAAAAAATGTTTTTTTATTGATTTCAGATAGGAAGGGAGAGGGAGAGAGAGAGAAACATCAATGATGAAAGAGAATAATGGTGATGAGACGGAATAATGGATTGGCTCTCCTGCACGCCCCCTACTAGAGCCCCTACTGGGGATCAAGCGGGGGCGGGGCATGTGTTGTGACCTCCTGGTTCATGAATCACGCTCAACCACTGAGCCATTCTAGCCGGGCTCAATATTACCCTTTATAGTACAGGATCATGTATTGCATTTAGTTGTCCTGTTTTGTTAGCCTCCCTTAATCTGCAACAATTCCTCGGCCTTTCTTTGTCTTTTTCACGACAGAAGGTTTTTGGAAGAGTACAGACTAGTTATTCTGGAACATGTTTGGGATTGTCTGATGTTCCCTCGTTATTAGATGAATTGTATGCATTGCTCACTGGATGGTGATGCTGCGTTCTCAGTGCATCACATCAGGAGGTGTACGATGGACGCGTTTGTCCTGTTATCAATGTTCAGGTGGACCACTTGGGTTAAGGTAGTGTAGTGTCACAGAGTTTCTGTACCATAGGGTTACTATTTTCCCTTTTTAATTATCAAGTAATTTGTGGCTATTTACATGGAAAGCTTCCAATATCCTTTCAAGTTCATGGGACAAAAAAAAAAAAAAAAAAAAAAAAAAAAAAGGCGCGGCTTTCCTTTTAGGAAATACCTACCGCTTGCTGAACTGACCCAACAGCGTGCCTTCGGCTCTACGGCTTTGTTAAGTGAGTTTGCACCTTTCCGGAAGGGCGGGGAGGCTAGGCTGCAAAGCTTTAAGGGAATTGTAGTCTTCCGGGGCGCTCACGTCTAAACGCCGCCCCGTGGTCTCCCGCAGAAAGAGCCAGAAGCTGAAAAGGGAGGGAGAGGGGCCGGCGGCGGCGCTCTGGACGCGTTGCATCACGGGATTGGTAGTTCGCGGCCGCTCTCTGCCGCGCCCCAAGCGGAGAACTGGACTACCACTCCCCGTAGGCCACACGCGCGGGGCCGGAGAAGCCGTCAGGGCCTCGAACAAATCAAATCGAAGGAAAGAAACTGCCGGCTTTCAAAATCCTCCTCCTCCGCCATCATCCTCCGCCGTGCAGCGAGCAGGTGGTGTCGAGACGCGAGTGGGGAGAAGCGTCAGGAGACCTGACGGGCGGGCTGGGCATCGGGACCGCTGGACTCGGAGGCGGCGACGCCGACCTGCGCTCCCGGACCCCACGTCCTCGCCCCGGCGGAGTGCGCGCCTGCTCGGGTCTCCCCGCGCGGCGGCGCCGGCTGTTTACGGTAGAGTCGGGTCCCCTTCCTTTCCCGTCACCTGCCGGGAATGGGGTGCGGGGCGGGGGTGGCGCGTCCCTGGAACTGGACGTGGAAGGTGTGGGGCCTCCTGAGCGTGGTCTCCCCTGCGCCTTCCATGGCCAAGCGCGGAGGGGCTGGGAGTGGGGGGCCGACCCCCTCCCCAGTGGGGACACTGAGGCTTAGAGAGGGCGCCTGGCTCGCCTGGCCCGCCTGGCCGGGGCGCCCCGCACGCCGCCGCGGGCAGTGGCGTTTCCT